AGGGTTATTAAACACGACCAAGAAAAAAAAGGGTAACATGCTCTACACACATCACCCACCGTCTCCGATGGGACCCGCGGGCTGCGGCACCGCCGGAGGCGGGGCACCCGCGACGACGGCAGCAGGCGGAGGGACCGGCGGTAGGGCGGAGGCGGGAGGCACGGCGGCAGCGCCTGCGGCGCCTGCGGCACCGGGAGTCGTCGCCGCCGGCGCCGGCGCCGCCTGGTGGAGGCCGTTGCCGTTCGACGCGTCCGCAGAGGGCAGCTTCCGCTTGTCGCGGGGGACGTAGGTCCCGGCCTTCTTTGTGACCACGTCGCTCTCGCTCTGTGGCGGTCAGGGGGGCGTGGGAAGGCGGGGGGGGGCGTACTCATGGTTTGCATTCCGTAGTGGGGAGTTTGGGGAGTTTGCAAGTTGTGTTGCGGAGACCTCGCACCCCGACAAAAATCGTGGACAGCAGTAGAGCGAGTCGGGGTTTCCAAAAAAATGGAAGCGGGGGAGGTTCAGGGGGTCAAGGGGTGGGGCACGATGCTATCTACAATGCATAGCGCGTTGTTCCTACATACTCAACGAGCTTGTCATCACATGTGTCGCTGGCCTGCATTACTCTCGCGACAACCACCTCAACGACGACACCCCCTGGCGTCTTCAAGACCAAGCTTGCTTCGAGTGTCGACACATTCGTGTTCTCCAACAACAAAAAACGATCCCCACCCACACCGCCGCACCTTAGCGAACTGAATTCTCATCTTCTTCTCGAAGAAGGGGAACCCTTGCATCTGTCGGAGAGCGTTTGTGGCCATGCTCTTCTCCGCGAACACCACCCACGCCTGCCGAAGCAAACGGAGAAAACGAACGGTTAGGTGATGAGAGGGGCGAGATACCAAGAGGTGACGATAAAGCCGACCAAGGCAACGTCGGAAGAAACGTCGGAAGAGAGACAGAAAACGAAGCAAACTCTTCGCATTCCGCCTATTGATGTACGTACGCGGTTAGTAGCAGAGGGGCGGCAGTCTGCAACCCAGCCTAACGAATTCTGATGCAGGCACACGCGTTACAACTGCACCGGTCACGCTCGCAACTCATGTCGTTCAGTCAATCTCCTGAAACGTCCTCCGGCAGAGGCGGCCGCTAGAAAACAATAAGAGATATTTGTTATCACACACCTGTCCTTTAAGCTTGAGCCCTCGACATGCCACGATGTCCACGATCTTGCCGAACTGGCTGAACACGCTGTTACATACCAGAGGAGCGTGATTGACCCCCGTGCGTGCCGCCGTCCGTATTCGTTGTCGGGAATCAGACAAGACGGAGACCAACATCGGAACGTCGAAGACAGGATCGAGGTAAGTCGTTGTGAAGACGGCTGAGGCATCGCCCCATGGGTTCATCGATACAGTACGTGCACCCATTGCGTCCATGTGTCCACCCATCCGGCGGACACAAACAAGTAAACGGCGTGCAGTGTGTAGGGGGTATACTCATGTAAACGCATGCCGTAGTCGTTAAAACCATCGACCGGGGGGGGGTATGCGCGTGGGGAGAGGGGGGGCTGAAATGTTGGAGTGCTACCTACAACTGAAGTGTTGTTTTTTTTCTTTATCGTATATGACCAAAATGTCTGGGACCGCGCACGGCTGACTCGCAAGGTGTGCTACGGGTGGAAACCGACACACAGCAGCGCCGTTTGTGTGTGCTTGGTGCATTTCTGTGGGATAGCTCAGCTGGAAGTCGGGTGGTGAACGCGCAGGAGGCCTCCGCCTCCACTTAAAGTTCCGATCGCACCCTGAGTTCGTTTGCTTCACAACCAATTCAATGATACAGCGCCTCATCGATCCCCCGATCCCCATGGGCCCCTCCCTGCCTGGGGGGGAAGGGGCAGAAGAAAACATGCCCCCCGCACCCTCATCAAAATCAAAGGTGCTCTGTTGTCTGGTCGGATCGGAAATCGGACGGAGGGATGCGGAGAGGGCGGATGCCACCGGACGCACGCACCACCCAACAGCGTCAAATCGTCAAATCGACACTTGCTGCAAGGGGGGTAGGCACTGCATACTGCTTTGTAGACTAAAAGGGGGCTACGCAAAATATTGCGGTGGGGTGTTGGCTGTGGGTACATCATCGGGGGCGAGACAGAGGGACACAACCAAAATCCAACCCAACGATGCATTTCGAGGAGTGCACTGCTGATGAGTCGTTGACAGCTGACAGCTGACAGCATCGCCTGCTCTCTTCATTGTCGGGCCAGCTCGAATGGTAGGCACTGCTCCTCCTGCCCTGGAGACGAAGCTGCCGTTCCATGAGTATGTGGCAACCCCGCCAAAAATACGAAAACGACACTGAACAACATACTGCTTGCCGCGGTACAAGAAGCCGTGAATCCCCGACAGATAACTTTGTGCAATAACAGCTCCCGTGTGTACCACCCCGCAATCTTTGCCGCGGAGAAGCGATAAGAGGACAGAGAGAGAAAGAGAGGCAGCGAGGATCTCCCGCCCAGCGGTCAGCCAGCCTGCGCCTCCCGTCCAACACACACACACCCGTACCTGTGCAGCGACTTCTTGAGCAGAGGCTTCTTGATCTTCTCGTTCAGGTTGCTCACGTAGATGGTGTGGTTAATGACTCCCACATCCCCCATGGTGTCGAGCTTTTCCAGTCAACCCCCCCCCAAACACACCGCTCTGTTTTGCTCTCTGGTGCAGATCGCTCTCTCCTATCCGCGAAATATCCACCGCGTTGTTTTCTACCCCTCCCGGAAAGCAGGCACGTAGCGATCCCGCACAGAGTTGAATTGGCCAAAAGCAAGAGTGGAATGTGTCGTGAACGTTGGGTTTGGGTGCTGATGGGTGGGTAGTGTTCGCTGTTCGCTGTTTGTCGTAGCTCAGCTGCCTGCTGGTCCTATGCTGCTGTTGCAAACTGCCCTGGGGGGCCCGTGAAATCTAAACTTCGCTGGGGGGGATCCCAAAAAGCAATGAGTGCTTCGGGACCGGTCCGGCGCCTGCTCTCCGGGTGTCGTGTGATCACAACATTAACATTGCAGCGGCGGCAGCAGTTCGTGAGGGACAGCAAGGCCGCTAGAGGTAGTTGACTGGGCTCAGTCTCGAGCCATTTCCCTCGCTCCTCGTAGTTGTTGTTTTTGTCGGCAATTGGCAAGCGGAGAGTCGCTCTACAAAGGGTTCCACAAGGGTTGTTCACAAGGTCAGGCTGCTGCTGCTGCTGCTGTCGCCAAGAGCGGAGAATTCCACCGCACCATGATGGCAACGAGGCCCCAGTCCTCTGGGGAGGGTGGTGCTGCTGCTGCAGCCGCTGTGGCACAGGAGGAGAAGAGCGTACCGGGGGTGAGACGTGCTCATGAATGGTACAGGTCTGGAATGTGCCTCCTGTGGTGTGCGTCGAAAACTTTTGTTTTGTGCCAGAGTACATTCTGGTGTGGAGTAAAGTGGTAGGGGCTCTCCTCTGAACGTGTGAAACTTGAAGCAACGCTGTGTACTGCGGTAGCACCTACGGCATGAGAGAAGGAGAGAGGCGGAGCAGAGAGAGGGCAAAACGCGTGTGGAGACTGTGCCAGCAACCGTAATTCGTGACAAGTAACGATACGCCCCGAGCTACTGCTGCAGCCGCGGCGCGTCTGTAGTATGGTGTCGAGGTTTTTTCTCAAGTGTTCTCGTAACACCTCCTTCGCTCCGGTCCCTCCCTCTCGGCAGGTCAGCAAGGACGCGCTCAGAGAGGAGAGGAAGCCCCTGCTGGACTTGGACGACGTCGCGCAGCTCGAGAACGAGCTCGCCGCGTGCTTCGACGCGCCGCCGCCTCCTCCTCTCAACATACGGGTGTGTACATACCTCTCCTCTGGGCGTGGGGGGTGTCTCCTCACTTTTTGGGAAAGAGAGGGGCAAAGAATTTTCTTCGGGAGGCCGGACACGGCGCGGTCCACGTACAGCAGTTCCCGGGGTATTTGAAGATGAAGTGGGCGTGCGCACCTGTTGTCAACGCGGTTCTACAGCAGTAGTACTGCTATGGTGATCTAGGGGCACATTTGCGTGCCATTCCTTCCCGAAAAAAGTGCGGACGCGCACAGCAGTGAGAGGGGGCTAGCGTGTCGATACTCTGCTGCACACAAGCATAAACAGAGAAGTGTCAGCAAGCAACCGGTTGAAGCAGAAACGACGACCTGTGACAGCACCTTGAAATGCATACCAACCAAGCCCCCAACTCTTGTTGGGGTCTAGAGTTTAGAGTCGATAGCCGGTGATGAGGCGAAAGGACGCAAAAGGAGGTGAACCCGCAGCGTGTCCGTCCCGCCGCATGTCTACTGCTGTGTTCACGTATTTACCTCCATAGAGAACGAAATTTTATACTCCGTATATCATGTCCGTGCAGGTATATACGTTTCGTGTTTCTGCATGCACAGGTAAGACACACGCAGTCTGCCAGTACATGTTCTTGCGTGTGGCGTTGCCCGTCATTGGTGTACCGTCAAAGAGGCGTTTTTATCGGCGCGGGGGCTTCGTAAGAGCGTATAGGTATAGGTATAGCACATACACCAAACGCCACCTGGTTTCCAGAGGTCGATTGCGCAGGCTGCCAAGCTATGCTCCAGAAAACGCGGCGAACGTGCCACACATACATCCCACACACGCTCGGCCATGATTTTTTTTTTCATATACCCTGGACGTTACATTGTACTCTATAAGAAAGGACGGACATGATGATTCCTTCCGTTCGTGGTGTCAGGGTTTTTTCTTTTTCTTTGTTGCCTTGAGCCTTAAGCTGTGAAGCCGCCAAGGGCGGGTGGACTGCTGTTGCGTCGAGCGAGCATGGCGTGGTCGGGTAGGATCACACCAGGGAACGGTGACGGCCGACCCGAACCCGATATGCCTTCATCAGATGAGCGCCCCCCCCCCCCCCCGCCCCCGCTGGCAAGTATTTGCACATGGATTGTCGTTGATTGAAAACGCGGTACGGCGACAACGCGGGCTCTTTTTTAGAAATCCCAGAAATAAGGTCCAGGCTAACTTTTCTTATGTGATGAGAAGAAGGTTGGTTACCTTGCTTGGTGCGCTTGTCATCGCTGAGGCCCCAAAAAAATATTTTGAGGTGTGAACAATCTCGGGCTAGTATCCTCCAGAAGAAAGACTTGAGAGATGATTGGGGTGCCATTGCTAAATAACTCCGTCTCTACCACCGCTTATCCCCCCCCCCCCCCCCCACCATTTGCCGTGTCCACCATAACAGCGAGAAGAGCCTGTCGCGACCGTTTCGACGTGGATGCCGATGGCGGAGCACCGTTACGTGGAGACGCACGTTGCGCCGCCGACAGCTTCGGACGTTGCCGCTGCGCGGGCGAGAGGGGAGCTGCCGCAGCTGCTGCAGGAGGGGCAAGAGCAGGAGGGGGGGCAGCTGCAGGAGCAACAAGCACAGGCGACGAGGGTCTCTGACTTCAGCAGCCTGTACTCCGCAGCTCCGCACCGCGAGGTGTGAACGGTCTTGCCAAGTTGTACCGTGGCCGCAGCGGGGCTGTTGAGTTGTTACACCTTTTTGATGGATTGTTGGGGGAGCTTTTCCCGTGAAGGGTGTGTGGACGTGGCATGGATATAGCTTGCTGCTGCTGTTTTTTTGCGATTCTGTTTCTGCTTTGGCGTGGGTGGCGTGGCGGTGTGCAAAACGTTTTTTATTTGGCTAATGTTTGTGGTGCTAGAGAAGGCGGGGCGTATCTACAGCGGCGGTGTCAAGGATACCGTACCGTGCTGATTGCTTTTGCTGGGCCTAGTATTTGCCGAGATCAAACTAGATCAAACACTCCTGCAGGAATCATCACCCGATCGAAATTGCATGTCTAACCAGATGCTGCCGATCACGACCTCGCCTTTGGAACGAGAACACACTGACACGCCCCCCGCTCCGCATGGCATCTCCACTTTGTGTAAACAATAACGAAACAGGAGTCCACGGGTCAGCTGTACCCGGTCTTGGCCCCCTCCGCACCGTTCTCCGACACGATGAGGATACCGATGCCGCCGCCGGCAGTACCAACAGCCGCACCAACAGCGGCACGGGCGCCTTCGGCCGCTTTTGGTGCTGCCGTGCGCGATGACGGGGCGGCGGCGGCGGCGGCGGCGGTGGCGGCGGCGGCTGAGGCGGCGGAGGCGGAGGCGTCGTCTTTGACTACTATTACGGCGACGGCGGCGAGAGAGAGGAGCCAGGACGTGTCGTCTTCGGGCGAGGTTGTCGAAGAGCTCCTGTCGGAGAACGAGCGCTTGCGCGCTATCATTCAGGAAATGTCCGATGAGGTGTGTGTGCATTATTAGCATCGACCGCGCTATGACCGGCCGACCCATGAAGATTCGCCAATGTTAATAATGGCGTGCGTGGCCTGTGCGTGTGTAGCTAGTTTCTTGGCGCCGACCGCGCCAATCGACCGACCAACGAAAATGCGTCAGGTTTGCAGCAGGACGAAAGAAGGTGACAATTTTGCCTTCTCGTCGAGATAGTTGAGCCGCCAACAAGCTCTCAAGTTGGGTTCGCGTGTAAGTGCTGATAACTCCCGGCGGGACCTAACCCCCCCCCCCCCCGGCGCCCTCTGTTTGCTGCCGTGCTTCCTGTCTCCCCACCCCGCACGGTTGTTGTTTGGGTTTTAGCTGGAACGAGGATCGGTGCCGGCAATCGGCGGCTCCACGGCGGCGGCAGGGGCGACGCAAGGGCGGCAATCCTCGGCCGCACGTGCGGCCGCGCGTGCGGCCACGTCCGCTACACCCACCGAGCGATTACTTGGCCGATATCCCGGGGCTCAGGCGGAAGCAGCAAGGTGAGGCGACGGCGCGTGGGCATTGCAGTGGAGGGGGTGGAAAAGGGCGGGCATAGAGGAGAGGGGGGCAGTTGTTCTAGTATTTTGTCGTTTTGCATGAAGCAGGGTCCGGTACTCATTTTTGGTCGTTGGTCTCGTCTTGAACCGTTGACGAAGGGGCAGGAGCACACTTACCCGTGTGTTCCAGCGCAGCCCTGGTTCCCCTCTCTCCGAACAGTGCCGTCCGTCCGTTTCGACTGATGATGGTTTTTGGTGGGCAGCAACCATTCGAGTCCTCTTTGGCTTGGAGGGTAGTTTCAACGTGTGACGTGTGTTGTTTGCTGCACGGCGAACCTTTCTTGCCTACAGTAGTGCTATTTGCTGGGCTGTTCTGTCGCGCCCGGGGGACTGGCAGCGGTGTGCGCCTCGTGCACGCGACGCCCGCGATGCGATCCCCCCTCCTAACTAGCGACAGCAGTCGCGCGCGTGTTGGAAAAGGGAGGCGTCTTCTGATGGTGCCGGTGGTGATTGCACCGCTGTTGCTGTCGTCGTTTCCTGCCGACTTCCCTGCGTGATCACCAGGCGGCGGCGAGAACAAGCTAGCCAGCAGCAACAAGGACACCGGCAGGACGGCGGGGCGCGGCCGCAGACGCAGGTGCAGCCGCAGGTGCAGGCCGCCGTCGGGGCGGGAACGTTCGTGCACTTCAAGTGCGAAAACTGCCCCCAGTGGCTCAAGGTCCCCGTGCACGCGCAGCTGGTGTACTGTCCCACGTGCGGGTGAGTTGACTTGCTTGTCGGCTGGGCTTTTGCCACGTCTTTCGTCCGACGGGTAGCGAGTGCTGACTCGAAGAAGGTCCCGCCGTTACTTTGGTGGTCTTCCGCGCGATTGCTTGTGTGGTGGGTCCCATACATTGTTGGGAAGCAAAGGGTGCGTCGCTCTTCCCCGGCTTGCCGTCGAAACGAATTAGCTGACTTCCCCTTGAACGAGCTTTCCGCGGGGTCATCATCACCAAGAGACGGCACCGTAAACAAGACGAGAGTTTGGTAGAATGCCCCGTGTGTCTGTTGTTGTCCGTCACTTACGTGCACGACCCTGCTATTTGTTTTTTGTCTCCAGCTGCTTCAAGCGAGAGCAAACCAACCTCCCACAAAGACAGCAGCAATTCTCCCCGTAAAACCGTGCAGTGGCCTGCCCCATGGCCAAAGTCAAAGGACGCACACACCCCGCGCCTTTTTTGCACCCACAACTCGCCACCTTCGCTCATGTTCATTTCCCCGCCCCGGCGCCCTTTGCGCTATCCGGGCCTATCCGTTGCAACAACACCCTTCCTTGGTCAACGCTTGTCGCAGGCACACGTCCCAGATGACGTCAGCGTCCACGATTCACCACCCGCCGAACAACGGTAACGACACCACGGCCGCCGGCTCTAGCAGCAGCACCGGAGCGGCGGGGCGAGGGGGGGAGGAGGAGGTTGGATGGCTGGGGTACTTCAAGAGCATCATCGCTTCGTGACGATGTTTTGTTGACCTACTGAGATGGAGCGGCTGACCTGTTTTCATGTTCCTTGGCGTTGTGCGTGTTTGTTTGTTTGCACCGATCTATGGTTCGGCTCGTTGCCCGCTGTCCACGTCGTTTTTTCTTTTCTTTCTCTCTCTCTCTTTGTCGATGCCATGTAGACGCCAGACAAAGGCGCTGTTCACAAGTAGTCGGTGATGGCTGTTCCTCCCTTTTGTTGCTTGAGAGGATCCGGGTGCGTGAACACTTTCTTTGCCCCCCCTTAGGAGGTACGCTTTCAATGTGACTGAATTGCAAGGGCGTACCCCGTTCTCCGCAGAATATGACGAGTCCTACACGATTGCGCAACGGCATTGGATGCAGGGGAGCGGGCTATCGGTCGTCGTTTGTCGCCGGGCAGAGGCGGACCGATTAGGCTTCGCGACGGGTTGCAAATCGGGGGTGTAAAAAAGTGTGTTTAGTGTGTGCATAGGCCTTTGGTGTACGCCGTGTCCCTCAACGAGCGGTGACGGCGGCCATCGGCGCACGGCAACTCGTTTCGTAATGGTGGTGGTTCATGCGTGTCTGCGGTCCTCGTGTTTGTCGCTCGGTACGTGCCGAATGACGGTATCGTTTTGTCCTTTGGAGTACGTGTACAACCCGAGGAAAGGGACGAGATTTCAGCCCCACTGGGCCCCCGTGCCTACTCTGCAAGGAGGGGGTGGGGGCGGAGGTGGGGGTTCGCATTTCGGCTGCTGTAACCGTCTTGTATTTTTTTTTTTTCGTGGTTATCTTTGTCGAGGTTTGTGAGCGTTATATCTTCCGGCCTCCCTCCTTTTATCTTGGAGGAACATGCGTGTGGGGTGCCTCTGTGGCTGTCAGCCGCTGATCCCATACAATAGGCATAATACAGGATGGCGACGACGGGTGACAGTACAGCTTCATCGCCACCTTCCAGTGAGATGAAGGAAGGCAGGATCGTCCTCCTCCGGCGTTTCGTGCGAGAGAGAATCGTTTAGAGCATCCTGCACAGGAAGGATAGGTGGCAGCTGGTTTCCTGTTGCTTGATGCGTAGCAGCAGGTTGACTCGGCGGCAGCTTTATTGTCGTAGCGAAGTGCAGTGACGGTCACGGCGGAAGGCAAATGGATTTCACTTGTGTTTTGCTCGGATCTGTGGTGCAAGAGTTGCGGCTGTCAGAACAAGGCCTTGGTGGCCGTGGCGGGTGCAAGAGATGCAGCCGAAGCCTCGTGGACCAAGGTAACAGCTGCGATATCAATGCCAGGCCCTGCTGCGGATCAGACCTCTTGTTGACGGATTGGCTGGTTGGCATAAGCGTGATGATCCCGTCCCCTGGCAATGGAGTGGGCGGTGGAGCTCGACCCTTCCGTGCCGACAACGGTAACCGGGCAGCCTACCAACATACCCTTTTCGAAATTGGCGCCACTCATTTTCAGGCAGTGTTTACCTGTGCCCCCCGGTGCTTCGCTGCTACAGCAGCTTTGACGTGCGGAAGGCGGGGACGCAATTGTCGTCGGATGATGCTCCCATATCCTGCGACGGACGTGTTACTCTTTGTATCTGTCGCTCACAGCATTTTTACCTGCCGCACGGTCTTGACTCCTTAGGCTCCTTTAGCTGGATGATCTCCGATGGGTAATGGTAGGCTTCTTGGTGAGCTATGCGAAGCAAGCGAGGATGTATTAGACTACATGTTTCACAACGAATGCCAGATTTTGTTACATGAAAAAAATGCGAAGACGAGGAGGATATTGTCAACTACGACAAATAGGTTATTCAAGAGCTGTACTGTGCGGTGGCTCGGCATGGATGGGCGAACATGTCCACCGGTCGGCATCAAGGTACGCGCGAACCCGGTGTTACCACTCTAGTCAAATAGTGCACGGGTCAAGCTGAGAATATTTCCATCGACAGAAAAGTCTATATCAGTTCTTTGATGAGCGCCTGTGTTTGTCGTACACATTTCATTCCCGGTATGCTGTAGAGGGACAACTATTTGTAGTCTACATCTCGTAACAGTTTTTCGCCTTGCTGTGCCTCACACAGGAGTACGCGTGAAATTCTGTAAGGATATTTATTTTGATTCATTGTCCCGGCATGTTGGTGGCAGATGCTGACGTCATTTGACGCTAATCGGGTGTGATCGTACAAGATTCCGCAGAACAAGCGCAGCAGAACAAGCGCAGCAGTGTTCTACCTCGCAGGTGGCACACAGACGGGTCGAGGCGGGACGATGGCAGTGCCCGCGGGATGGCAAGGATGGCCGAAATATCCAGGCGAACTGTAGATACAGGCAGCGAAATCACTTTTTCTGGAGTGGTCATTCGATCACCGCACTTCAAGATCTAGACTGTACAGCAGGACCAATGCAGGTATTCCTCCGCATGCGTTACAATCCAAACGACACATGTCATACCGAATCCATGACGACATCAGCGTTCCGTGTTTTCCGCCTTACAATAAACTACACCACCCTCAGCAGAGTGGAGAGGGAGAGAGAGGACGCGTGCCCGCATTCACTCTAGCAGATATTCACTCACTCTCCCACACACACGCACTCACTCTTCGGATATTGGTTCACTCCAGCTTCAATATTTAAGTCAACGATTTTGAAAAGCGGCGACACGCACCCAAGCACACCATGCTTCAGCAACGACTTGCCCAGGGCACAGGTCCCCCAACTGGCGTTCCAGTAGGGCAGTGTAATGGGAGACATGACATGAGGACTTTTGAGGGCATACAGGTGGGTTGCACATCTTACTTTGGATTTGGTCTTGCGTTCCACGCGCAGCAGCAGACTACTACTAAATAATAGTGGAATAGTGCCGTTGCATGTATATTGCTGCACAACAACCGGACATCGGCACTATTCAAAGTACATAACGGCTTGGTTTTCAGTGTGTGCGGAGCCGAAAACACCGGCACTACAACATCGGGCTCCCGGCCCTACGCTACAGTATTCGACCGGCACTATACAGGGTGTTTTGCCGTGCCCGCTGATCATGTTCACCCTCCCAGTGTTGCACTACCACCATGCTACAAAGAAATGGTTTACATTGATTGTCGTTTACGACGTGCCTCGGCGTTGCGTGTATTTCACTTCCCCCCGGCTCAGGCGCGTTGATGTACACACGGTTCTCGTCTTGGCCAATCAACCTATTTTGTGCAGCAGGCAATGTCGTACTCCCTCAGCCTAGCATCGGCCGGACGTCGACGTCGCATCAAGCCAAACCCTCCGGCCGGCGAGGTGCGATCGAGAGAATACCGGCACGGACTGTGGATGCAGCTCACCAACCAGCGACTAGAGGCTGAGAACGCCAAGGCCGAGGGGGTTATCTTCGAGAAAAGGGTATTCGACCTGGCGAAGCAAGCTGTTGCGGCCCTTCAAGGTGACCTGTTCAGAACAGCACGAACAAGCGTTGTACTCAACAGGTAGCTGATACTCAGTGCAAAATACTGTCGTTGCCCCAATGATGATATACCTATCTGGGCTCGAGCGATTCTTTCACGCAGGAGATCAGAACCGCTGTAAGTATTTCGATCTTGTTTCTTTCGTCGCACCCCTGTGCGGCCGCACTTCTACTGTTCCACAATGCGGGATCGAATAGAATTTCACTTCGTCATGGTAACCCCTGGGTACGAACTGGACAGAACCACTACCCGCCTTGCCTAGGACCATATCAGGTGGTTCGATTTCGCAGAACTTAGCTGCTTGAAGTCGGTCACTAGCTTGGTTTTGTGGGCGAGTGAGAGTCCAACGAAGCGGTAGCCTGCTGGTGGGGATGCACAATACTTATTATCCATGTGCCTCCCAGTTTCTTCTTGGCTTTGACGAGGAAAAGCCTTCCTTCGTTTTCTCTTCCGTGTAGCGTACCATGAATGGCACCTCTTCTGTACAGTCAAGTCGTACGGTACGGTATTTTCGATATGCTTTGTTTGAACTTGGGGTCATTGCCACGTGGTCACCAGCACCACAGGCCTATAAGATAAGTATCCGACGTTGAACACCGTGAAATTACAATCAATGATCGATCGCTTATTGATCTGCGTACATATTATCTGCGACATATTTATAGTAGCAGTGCCTCATTACTCGTGGTCGCACGCAACCTCACGTCCAAAGTGAGGTTACCCTGGAGCTTGGCAACCACGTGCGCGATAGATCCGATTCCTGTACGAAAATCAAGTTTATCAATTCACTCTTGCTCCATCCCTTGACACCGCTCGCACCGATGTTCTAACACTCGCGGTAGCTTTCACTCCCAACATGACCGTACGTGCACGCTACGATGGACTTTTACGTACGGTGCGGATTCATCCATTGGTTCACGATCTCCCCCTCTGCCCCAGGCGTTGGTATCCGGTGCGAGATGACCACGATTGCGAACGTTTTGAGAACCGCGTGCAAGTATCGTGCTCTCGAAAAGGGGCGGCAGCGAGCGCTCCCTGAACAAGAGAAGGTGCTGCAGTCGGCTAAAGCAGCGCACGGCGTACCTCCATGAGACGAAACGATATCTGGATAATGTGAATGTGTAGATACGGGGGTTTGCATGACATCTGCGTTCTCCGGCGGTGACAGGCCTCTATATTCCGCCCCTGGCGCCACCGCCGCACAAGACGGTGTCGATTCATTGTGGATGCTACTACTGTACACAAGAGGATTGCTCCTCGTCGCGAATAGAATCTCTAACAAGCTCTTTCACAATGATTCACTTCTTCAATCTATACTCGCGCTTGGCCCGTCGCTCCCAGAACATGCAACAACAACCACGCAACATTTAACACCGCCGGACGTTCAGCAGTTCACTTCCCCGCGACCGTCTTTCCTCCTGCAGAAAGAAATGGAAGACTCGTGTCGGGTGCTCGATGCCTGTCTAAGGTTCGACGGCCGCCGTCTCGCCTCTCTGCTGGGCTATGCCATCAAGCGCGAGAAGACCTTCGGCGACGGAGTTCCAATATAGTAGCGTACACTGCGCGACCCCTGCGACCAGTGGGGCAATCTTACTCCTACTGGTGCCATACGAACACCTCATGGCATCAAAAGGGGGCGGTAGTGTGGAGCCGTACGGCTTAGTTTTGCCTTGTCTTTGGTCCTCCGCCAACCACGCCGTGATTCCTATCGTGGCGCATTCGTGGACTGTGAGGGCCGACCAACACAAGGACGTCGCAATTAAATAGGTTTTCCTGTGTCGAAAACTACATATGGCACAAACAGGGGTCGCAACCAGCACGACGGGTGTTCATTTGATGTAAGAGCATGACCGCCGTTGAAAAAAAGAGCGCCCTGGAGAGCTCGAGAGGAGAGAGAGGCCAAAGTCTCGGCGAGAACGCAGCCCACAGCGAGAAGGCGCGCGAGGAGGACACTTGCAACGCCAAACGCGATGAAATAAACTACGGTATCAGTCAGTGACGTGCAATTGAGAGAGTACCGCGAGTGAATGACAACACGTGCACTAATCTCCGCCCGGTGGTAGATGGGCTTGGGGTATTGTTGATCTGGAAGACAACAAGTTAAACTTTTCCGTTTCACTCGAAAATGTGTAGTCACCACGACGTCTCGTTTGCGACACGATCAATGTATATCATTGTCCAGCACCTCGAGTCATCAGGAGTTTTTGCAGTCGGGAGCAAGAAGGTGCTTAACGGGACATTTGTCGTAAACGAAACTGTGAACTCCTACAAACCCTCGCGATAGAGAGCGCCCAGACAACGCGAGGATGACGGCCGCCCCTGAGTCATGAGCTTGCATTCCCTCACGTTCACCCGGATCGGACCCGTATATTTTGTGCATGCATCAACAATGGCAATCCAATCATTCGTGTGCTACAAGCCAGCCCTGTCGCCCTACCCTTAGCGCTGTTCAACATACGGAGAGATTCCCCCTTTGACCTCCGAGCACCATGTGGTGTGCCAACTACTACTGTACCTGCTCTACGTACGCGTGTGATGATACAGGTCCATACTCCATTGTCTAATTCTCGTGTTCGGCCGACGGCAAGCGGTGTGCGGATCACGCGGAACTTAGCCACTCGAATGCCACCTACGCTACGTGAGGCATGAGCGATAGCGATGCGCCTTGCTGTCGCTGCTTACCAGCTGGAAATAAATGTGGTACCGAACTCCGGTCGTCCCAAGGAACAACAAGTATAGTGAGAGAGTTTCAAGATTGTAGTACAAACTCGGTGGCAGCCAAGAAGAAGCGTGCAACACTCTTTTCCTTCACCCTGGCGCTCCAACATGAAGCTTATTTCACATACATTTACAGCCTCGCCTGGGGCATGTGGGCATGCGAAACTCCCCCAACCATCTTCGACTGAAAGAAGACATACGAGGGAGGGAGGGAGGGAGGGAGGGAGGGAGGGAGGGAGGGGGAGGGGGAAGACAACCCACCGGGGGCGCAAGAGCACGATCAACATTATCGGGGGTAACTGTATTGCCAGCCGTGTGCCCCCTTGCCCTGGCAGTCAGCAGTCAGCAGATGGCAGCACACAGACAGCGAGTATACCAGGTTACTGCCGCCACGACATGTCTCACCCGCCGTCGAGTTCCGTGGTAGTGGTGTTTGCACTTGTTTTCTCGTGCACAGCTTCGGCCTTCCTACAGTCTGGTCAATGTAAGATTGGTCATGAAGATGAAACATGTGTGTGCTTGTTCACGGGTTGCATACATTCAGACATGTACTGCTGTGTCTTGTACATGTGCCCCGACTGCGACGATGCTGGTATACCAACTGCTGTCTCTGAGTATCACGTGCACGCTCTGAGACTATCATCGTTCCGTTGGTCACCCTCAGAGGGCAATGGGAAGCAAGGCCTGTATGTTACTGGAATTGCTTACTTGCTGCTGTTGTTGCTGTAAGGTGAACAGCAGCTGTTGGTCGTTTTCCGCATGGCCAGCGGTAGCGTTCCCGGTGCCCGATCACCCCCGACACCAGTAGAGAGGCTGCCAGTGTGCCACCAAATCAGCCTAAGCAGCCGCCATTCGTGAAGCTTTCCCTCCCACGTTCACGTCCGCAACAACACACCAGCGCTGCTGCTGTCTCATGGCACCTACGGCGGAGCCCCCGCCATGAGACGACCTTTCGCTCACCACCATTTTGCGGATCGCCGGCACGAGCATCACCAGCAGCAGCGGAAGCATGGTGGCTGTGAGCGCCATGAACGGCGGAGGAGGTGCGACAGCACAATGGTTGCTCTTTTTGGTTTTGTTTTCCTGTGGTCACACTCAACGGGTTCTCCGGGGTTTTGGGGATATAGGCACCCCGGTGTCGGCAACACGTACCCTCTGCGGGTGTTGCCCCAAGCCCTAGATTACGAGATCATGCAGCTACAGTAGCCGGTAGGCGAAAGTTCACTGCAGGTAAAGCCTAGCGTTGGAAGTCCGTCGTTTGGACTAGGAATAGGAAGGTGCTTGCTCACTTTTATCGAACGTGCATCACAACGAACAGGTAAGCCCCCCCGCCCGCCCGCCTCTCCCCCCGTCTATCCTAAAAGTATGCATACAACAAGCGGTAAGACGTCGGTCACAAACGACAACTGCAGGGAAGGGGATAGATATGATTGAAGTAGCAGACAGCGTTATGGAACGGCATCGCAACATGGTGAAGAACGTCCCCGAGTGTCGTTAGTTTCCCTGTCAACGCCCGCCCCCGTCCACACGAAAAATATAGACGCGTGTCGCCGCCGAACCCGCGCGTGGCCATGGACCAAGCGAGACACAAAAATCAAAAGGAGTACCTCCCCCCCCCCGTCCACAAAACCTGCATTTCGCGGCCGACTCCGGAATACTCCCCAACAGGTCAAGAATGCACGCCAACGCCTTTTCGGAGGAAGACAGCTACGCTACGCTGGCGGGCCTGGAGGAGAAGCAGGGGTGAGTTGCCTCGGTTGGAGGGAGCGAGAAAAGAGCGCATTCTCTACGGTGAATTGCTTGTATTGTACTCCGCGAGTTTTCTTTGTCGGGTATGCTCGGACGTGCCCTCTTGAGGCTCGCGGTAGACACAGCTCTGGTGCTGATTTAGAGAGATTCGGGTATCGTTTCAATGCACGTCTGCTGCTGCTGCTGCTGCTGCTGCTCATGCTCAGGCTGCCGCTCATGCTGACAATGACGATGCCCATCGCCATGGCCATATTTTCTCTCCTACGTTTTTTTTTTGTGCTGTGTCACGCCGATCGTGTAGACAAAAATGTTCCGCATGTTTTCTCGCGCAGCAGTATGCTCCTGCCGAGCAAGTCGATAGCATGAGTAAGGATCCGGTGGTACAGCGTGAAAACGGGGAAGAAACGTTCGTAGATCGGCGGGGACATGAAGAGGAGAATGGGGGTAGACATGGTGCGTGACAGCAACGCACAGCAACATGGAGGACCCGTTTCCTTCTCAAATATCCAGGTTGCCATCAAGCGTCAAGTACAGGGGCAATATACAACCAGACAAGTCCATGCAAGCCCGAAATCGTCTTTTGTCCTACCCCCCCGCAAAAGATTGCTCGTGGAATGCACACATGTCCAAGGTAGCGGAAAAGGGCAAAGCACGAGCAGGGAAGCTGCACCCAATACTCGCAAACCGGCACCTTGATACACGCATCAAACTGACGGTTTTGAAGAGCGTAATCGTACCGCCGCTGGAGTACGCCGGAGAAGTATGGGAAGGAAATAAGAAGGTAGTGAAAGAACTCGAGGCGGCGCAGATGAAAGCAGCGAAAATCATCCTAGGATGCTCCAAGCGCACAAGTAATGCAGCAGTCAGGGCAGAATTGGGGATCCAATCCCTACGGTCGGGAAGAGACGTAAGGAAGCTGACATGGCAGTACCGCATGTGCGGGATGGGAGAGGAGAGGTTGCCGAGAATAGTATGGGAGGCGAAGTGGGCAAACAAAAAGAGGGGTAGACAACCCACGGAATGGGTCAAGGTTGTAGAGGACGTATGGAAGGGATTGGACATCGACGAAGATGAAACGCTGGAAACGGAGGGTCTACAGGGGTTCAAGAAGAAGATATCTGTTGCTTGTGCCGAGAGAGAAGAACAGAATCTAAGGAAAGAAACCAAGGATAAGGAGGGTCTAGAAGTGTACGGAATGTTGAAAGAAGGAATAGGGTTCAAGGATTACCTACATGGACCAATGGATGCAGGGACAAAGCTTAAGGTCAAATTCAGGACCGGGGACATAGGCCTTCGCGAACGTCGACGAAGACATAGGACGGTAGACGACGAAGACGACAAGTTCAAATGCGATTGCGGCTTCGAATGCGAAGACAGTGTTCATGTAGTCGCGGAATGTCCGTGGTACGAAAAGGAGAGGGAAGTGTACATGACCGAGCTGGGAAGAATACAAGGGACGTACAGGGAGATGTTTGAGGCATGGAATAGAGAGGAGAGGACGGTAGCGGTACTGGGGAGTAGAAAGTGGTTTGAAAAAGCGGGAAGTGACATCGGTAGGATAGACAGACTAGGAAAGACATTTTTGAGCCACCTTTGGCAAAGTAGGAAGGAACGATTGACCATCGGTGATCGGTCCTGTGGGAACAATGCTCCGTCCTCTCGAGGACGCGTGGTCAATGGTCTAACCGCTAAGGCATGCAAAGCATAAGAGTACGCCCCCCCCCCCCCCCCCCCCCCCCCCCCCCCCCTCCTCCCCCCCCCCCATCCCTTTTTCCCCCCTTCCCCCCCCTCTTCTAAAAAAAAAAAAAAATCTTTTTTCAACCCCAACCACCACACCCCTTTTTTTTTTTCCCCCCCTTTTTTTTTTTTTT